GTTATATTCCGAACAATGCAAATCTGTATTCGATCGTTCACCGCAATTCGCTGGCTGTCTAATTTTCACGTTTATTTTATTTCGCTATATCCGATATAAGCCATACATCGTGTTTGTACGACCGTTGTTTGTGTTTATTACAGTCGCACGACGCTGCTCGTGTGTTGGTATATTTTCACTCATCTGAAAATGCTTTAACAAGTATCAATAAAGAAAATATTGGGGATATTTGCGTATGTGTTGTTGTATCGTTAAGCGTTTAAGGTTCGCTTGTTCGATATGTCCGTATGCATTAAAAAAAATATGCATTACATTGTTTGATGTATACACCATCTATTCATTACCGCGTGTCGTGTATACAATTTTGGAACACGAATTCGCGATGGAATAACTTTTTCGACGCAACGCGTATGATGATTTGATTTTTGCCAAATAAAAAAAATAAATTGTTACGATTGTCATTTTTAGAGAAATCGTTGTAAACTTTTATATTTTTTATAACGGACATAAATATCATTTGTACATATTATAGTATATAGATGAATGTTTAAATAGATTGTTATTATATTACTTTCTTGTGTGATCGAATCGAACTCAATCGAAAGTTGTCACGGAAACTATATTCTCTAGAACAAAAGTTTTAATTTAATTTTTAGTTGTCAAAATTATTAATTTTAAACATCATTATTCGGGGTATGTTAAGTTAGCACCCCCAATAGTTGGGGTGCTAACTTAACATACCCCATTATTCGTTAATTCACTATTGATCCGACTATAATAATGAACGAGTTAAAACGAAGAGAAATAAATTTGTGTACAATACACGTGCAATGGATTGGTTAGATTATTTTTATGGAGTCAACACTGCTTCGTAACTTTAGAGTTAAAGCCTCCTCTTAAATATCGGGCATAAAATAACGTGAAGCTTACGCGCGCCATCTAAATCACATTAAATTTAATCTCGCTCCATGCTCGAGGAGCTCCATGACAAATATTTTCGCTTGAATTTTTTAATGGATCACCTGAAAAAAATGTAGGGTATTAATGATTTCGTGGTCTTTATATATCATAGGTACAACTTTCGTAAGAATTTCTCGGGTCGTTGCTCCAGCGCTTTATTTTCGTCGCGAATCTATTGGGCGGAGATCCGACGTCGAAAAAATAATCGAAATTCTCGCGACCGATCAATTCGAGGTGTCACGAATTCGTTTTTGTCGTAACTTCCGTCGCTCTTGAGAAAGTTTTCGAGAAAATTCTCTATTGGGTCAGTCGCAATTTAATATCTGTGAAAAGTGTGTACGATATATACGCCACTTGCGGAGCTTTTTAGTCCGTTAAGGATTTTATTTATGGATTTGTTTGCGGACGCGCGGATGCTTCTCTATAGCCGATAAGTGGCTACGGGAGGAGTTCTCGTGGAAGTCTGTTTCTGGCAGATTGCATCCGTAGTTATGGGGTTGGAAGAGTCGTTGGTCCGGTTGGCTGCGAGGGGGCGAATCACCCCGATAAAAGCGACCGGAGAGTGTTGGCTAGGGTTTCGGTCACTAAATTACCGAAGATCGAAGTAGCGGACTTTGCACATGAATCCTATTTTTATTACTGTTAAAATTCTTGTGTAATTTCGTAAGCAATGCTTAATATTTTATTTTGATTATAATATACTGGCTTAGTAAATTATAATCAATTTAATTTTAACGATTTGCGTTATGTGGAGTAGGAAAAGAGAGAAAGAGAGAGAGAGAGAGAAGTGTAAATATATATTTTATTATTTTATATATAAACTGGAAATACGATAATAATATGTAAATTAATCTTCTGTACAACACAGCTACATAAACTCAATTATAAGGTTATATGTGATTGCATATATTTTCCATGCATTATTTATATATTATATTTTGGAGAATAATGTAGTCATATAATATAAACATATAAACAGATTTTATAGAATAATATAATCATATGATATAAAGTCAAATAACATAATTAAATTTTACACTAAATTTTAGAAATATTACATTTCCGACATTTTACATGTGTATGGAAGTGGAATATTATTAGATCATTATTTTCTCTTCTTTATACTATTTATATAAAATCACAATTTCGTGAACAATTTAAATGATCGCGTTTACTTCTGGTCGCGCATTATATAAACATAAATATATTTATATTATCTACTGGAACTTGGTATATTCGCACGATGACAAACGATATCGTATGAATTCGTATCGCAAAATCGGTATTAAATCTGTTTAACTGATACATTCGATACGAGATAAGGCTGTCTATATCTTGCACTTGAAATTCGAGCGCGTACCAGCGCGTGCACATCTCAGGAATTCGGGGAATCGCGTAGCCTTGCACCAGAACCTCGGAAACCGGGAAACCGATCCGATCAGATCCGATCCTACCCGCGATTGGGTAAGTGCACGCTCCGCGTGATTTACCATGATTTCTGCTAAACACATACCGCCCTTTCCCGCGCGGGGATGCAATTTCGACGGGATCATGATGGCATGGCGGTCGCGTGATCGCCAATGGAATACCCTCGTTGTTGTAACCTCGTGCAGAATTTACTATGTTCAATCGTGCGATTGCACGCGCTCGCCCATCTCCCTTCGTGAATCGGGTGGATTTTCCACTTTATTTTTATCCCTCGATTACCTGGCTCCGGCTTATCGCGTGAAGTACAATACAACGTTTCGATAGAACCCCTTAATAATTTCACCAAAAACATTTTTTTCTTAAAAAAAAAAAAAAGTAGCAGGATTCGTAGGTGAACAGAGGAAAGAATTATAACAGACGAAGGCGACAGCAAGAGGAAACAAAAGTCACGATTGTTAGCATTGTTACCACACTTCCGAAACGCATTTCAAAGGATCCGCGGGCTATACTATATTCTTGGCATACTTTTTAACAACAAGAGTTTATACAAATGTGAATAATTCTGGCAACTATTCTAACACGAAAGCAAATGTATGTAATTTCTGGTACCTATAGAGAGATTATCACTGTTCTTTAAACGATATTAAATTGAACATTTTGTCTTTTTTTGTTACTTTATTTAATTCTCATAAAACTGTTAAAAAAGAGATATATATACACAATAAAGTTTGTATATGTATTTATTTTACGACAGTTTTAATTAAAAATCGAGCAAAGGGTTAATCCCGCGATTAATTATGGGATGAGGAAAATTACATCTCTTTTGGAAATGGCGCGCACACACACTACGAAAAGAGGAAAAAAATTTAATCGCTTGAGATACGTGCGGCAAGGGCAGTGCGTAAACAGCGCTATTCACGAGAGGGAGGGACAAATGTGCAATGACGCTACAGCGAAGTTATCGGCTATCGGACATTATTGGATAACGGAAACAAAGTGCGTCTCGCCCCATTGGTTATTATCGTTCGCAATCGCGAACTACACCGTTCTCGCGCCCGGAGTGATAAATAATTAAAAATAAATGAGGGATACGCGTTTCAGACGTTCAGACGTTCGTTCGAAAACGAACTTCTGGCCGGCACGACGTCCCTATTTTCTCTCCGTCGTAACATGCCACCCGTCGATACGGACAAGAAAATAAACCCAAGCCTGTCGACAGGTCGACACCATACGATTTATTTGTTTGTCATAAATCCGTCCGTCCATTTCCGCTCGTGTGCATTACGAAAACTCGCCTTCCGCATTCCGAGACGCAGTTTTCTCTTCGCTTCCCTCGATCCTCAGATATAATCAGATATAATCGGTACATCAGAATAATTCCGTTGAATTTATAATCCCCGATGAATACTTTATATAATCTCGAGAATCACACCAGTTTCAATTAATTACAGGCACGAGTGAGATAATCCGCAGCGAGGTAAAACGTCGAAAATCAGATTTCATTTCCTAATTCGTTGATACGCGAAAATCAGAGCGTTTTCACATCTTACTGCGTTTTCTGGTGCGAATGGCGCATCATTCGAACAGATGTCACGAGCCACTATCGGAATTATCGGAGATGCGCCGAATTAAGCATCGCGAGGATAAACCCGCTGATTATTTAATTGATAGCACCGTTTTATTATTAAATCAGTTTGCAATGCGAAACAGCCACCGCCGTTCATACATCTGCACCGTTCAAAATTTGGAATATCGACCTGAGGTCGTTCCACGGGCGAGAATCACCGTATGATTAATCCAGGTGCAAGGACCGTTTCGTGCCGATGAGCCGTTAGCGAAACCAAAATAGAAATTGACGTTCGTTCTTCATGGAACACACATGAATTCTAGGGAACCCCGCTACTACCGTTTCGATCGCGTAAACGTCGTCAGCATTATTATTACTTACAGGAATTGTAGGCCCCCCCCATTTGCGCGTGAAATTTGAAAACTACACCGACAAAAAAGTTTGGTAGTAATAATCAAGCTCGTACTGAAGAAAAAAAAAAAGTTTGCTAAATTTTAATATAATATTTCTTTAAATAATAAAATTATATTAAATCAAATTAATGGTTTTTGTATCAAATAAATATAGGTTTACATTTAATGAATATATTTACTATTTAAACAAATATTTATTAAAATCTAATATTCTTTTCATTGTATTATACATAGGAATATATAATTACTAAACGTTTTAGTAGAATAATTTTAATGTTCAATTAATATAAATAAAACATTAGCATTTGATTGAATCAACTAAACGTTAATTTTACTTTCTTAAATGTTTGATAATATAATTATTACCAAACGGTCGGTTATTATTATGTTTGAAAATGTTAATTAAATATTTTATTAATATGCTAAATACATTTACCAGCTATTGCTAGGCTTTTTTCTCAATGTAGTATGATAAAAAATAATACACTCATTTGCTCACAAATCATTACGATATAAATAATGCCTGGGTAAATAAGCAACTGTAAAAGATTAAATATCGTATTATATTGTCAAGCTGACTGCGATTTTTTAATTTTCATCAGAATTTTAGATTCGTTCTGTTTGCCTTGCAGGTGACATGGAAATTCTGGCATATTTCTTTGGACCGATCGGAGTGCTTCTAGCTGTAAATCTTATGTTTTTCGCTGTAACTGCTCGCGAATTGACGTGCGGTCTCTGGAAAGGCGAATTCGTAAAAAGCACCACTGAGAGGTAAGTAAACATTCTTCTCGTCGCAATTGAAAAAAAAAAGAAACCATAATGTATCCTACTCATTCATTTTCCAGTATTGTTTCCGTAGAAATAATTTATCATGTTTTAACTTTGTTTAAATGAACACGCTTATTTGCGTGTATTCTATCCATGAATAACGGTTTCCATTAGTTAAATTGTACGGAGAATAACATTTTTTGCTTTGGTACGGACATTAATTTATTATTTGTGCCACGAGAGACTTTTGTACGCTAATAAATTTTTGCAATGCAAAATTTGATCTTCGAATGAAATACAACGATGCCTGCAGCATATTATACATATTTATACTTTATCTTATCAATGGAATACATTTTACTAAAACAAATATTAGTTAATCAAAATTAATTTAAAAAAAAAAAAGATAAAAATATTAATTGAACTTTCTACTTTGGAGTGGAATTTCACCCTAAAGAGTGAGAATTGAGCCAGTCTTGAAAAAGAGTAGCTCAATTTAAATCTATAAGAGTGAGATTTTGCCCTCCAGAGTGAGATTCACTCTAAAAATTTTAAAGAGAAATACAAGAAAATAAAGCGAACTCGAAACGATGTAATCAGGGTGGCATGAATTTAATTACGTTTCGTAAGCATTGCCTTTCCGAGTATCCCTGTACGAGTATTTGGAACCAGCCGATTTATCGATGGATTAACGAAGGATAGTCCTGCAATCTGGTCGGATTAACCGAGACAGCATGGCTCGGAATCGACCAGCTGATGGTCCCCCTAAATTCAACAGCCGCCAGTTTCTCGAGGTATTCGCCAACCTTGCGGCCAACGAGTACGGATTTCGTCGGCATTCCACGGTTGAAAAATAATAACGTTTATTCCTTTAGCGCAGTTTTTTCCCGAGATCGTGAGAAATTCGTAAACACATGTCGTACGTTCGTCACGTGAGACATCGGCCAACCAGCAAGCCTTTTTCTCGCGCAAGCAAACATTTACCTTACGCCCGGCCATGAAACTTGATGAATATTCTCTTCACGTTTTTCTGCAGCTTTCAAAGAATGGCCATTATCAATAAAAGTTAAAAGTCTCGCGACCTTGCTAATCGTGCAAAGCAGATAAACTCGTTTGCAGGAACTGGAAGATCTGCTTATCTCTTCGTATCCGACTGATTCGCTCACTCCGCGGACTCTGGTTAATCGATTCAATTGAACGATCAATTTGTCTGATTCTATTTAAAGATCGAAGTGAAGTGATACTCGGACGTGTGCAAGAGATAGTATATTTTGTCATGTAAAAACGACGGCCGTTAGAAATTCTGTTTGGACCACACGAAAATTTTATCTATAACGTTTTGCACACGGCGTGCGAAAATCTCCCATATAATTCAAATTTAAATAAACGAAGACGTGCGCACGAAACATCAAAAGAACATCGAATCGAAGTAGGATCATAAGCGCGATCATAAGCTTGTTTTATTGGAAACATTCAATGTTTCGGTAGAACGAGAAGAGACTGTTTCACAATATTTCGAACCGCTTTCCGCAGAAAGCCAAGTGCATTGCTCCGATTTGCTCTTCGTGAAAAGACGAAATGTATCGATTCTCGCGCACGCGAGAATATCGATGCTCCAACAATAACTCTAGGAATATCCCGGAATTGTGCCAACAGCCGCGTTTACGGGCCATTTCCGACACGCTTCGATGCAACGATAATAAACGCGACGTTGCGCACGGCTGCCGTGGAACGCCCGATCGTTTCAGCGACTGCGAAACGACACTCACGCCTTGGAAACGATCAAGTTTTATTGGCCCAGGCGAAATGCCCAGTCTCCTGTTTTCCGTGTGAATACGGAACTTTATTTTAGACGTCGAAGGACGGCGCCTGATGGGATCGTTGAATATCAAGGATAACCGGTTGAAGATGAAAGGACACGTGGCGACAGTTAAGGAAAATCCTCGGAAGTTTCAAAATTATTACGCTTTCAGATTTTTATATGTGAATATACGCGAGCTCTAATTTGTGAGTAATAATTTAGAGAAAATACAGGATTGTCACAAAATTGGAAATCCAGAAAATGAAGACAAATGTCAGCAACATTAATAGTAATTTACATAGCTCTATGTTAAATTGATCTCTTAATAAAATATATTCGACGATTTCCAAAATAAGATAAAAGTACAAAAACATTTTTTATATTAAAAATTAGGAAAGATTATGAAATTTTATCTCTGGAATTTTGGAATGAGGAATTTGTGACAATTCTGAATACTGCAAATTTTATTTTTTTATCTCACAAGTAAGCCTTCAAGTTTACCAAGATAATTTGACTCGATACGTGAAACGCTGAGGTGCGGACGACCCGAGTGCAAAAGATTTGACGTTGAAACGTCAAAGTATTTTTCAATTTTTTTTTACGACGAGAAGTATTTGACACCTCGTACTTTCCGATTTGCACAGGCGAACGGATTCTTTTTACAAAGCGCAGACTTCGCGCGCGCGGAAAGGTTTATTTTATTACCTTCCAGCCGACTGATATCAGGCAATCGTTATTTTCCATTCGCTCGACGTCCCTTCGATCCGCTCTCACATTCTCTCGCTCTATTCGAGATTGATATTGACGATCCCAATTCGCGATTTCGACGACGCTATTTGCCCGCCGTGATGTACGTACACGAACACAATACCATTGTTGGCAAAAGGAAAGGTAATAGCATATGCAGATTTCGCCTCATCCCGAGTTTGTTCTATGTCTTCAACGAACGGATTTCGTTCATCACGTACGTTTGCATAGTTTCCGGTACACCTTGACGTGGATAGATTGCCTTGCGAAAATTTACCATCATATATACATTCATGCTATTTATGAAAGAGAATAGCAATATTATTTTTTATTCAACGCCAAGTTTACTGTGACTTTTATTTGTCATCGGAAAAGAATGAAATAAATATATCACCGATAACCTCGAATATTCCTTTCACTGAAATATGCGGAGTTGTATTATTATTTATTTTTATTATTGTATATTTTTTATTTTATGTTATGTTTTGTGTTACATTTCAGTTTAAAGCATGAAAACATTCAGTGAAAAAAAGCTGTGATTATAAATACACATGAATATACACAACGAATACGCAGGTCAAAATTAGAATAGGAAAATATTCATGAACAACGAAATAAACGTCAGTATTTTTAATGTTGAACGTAATAAATAAATGCTGGTTACAATACAAATTATATAGATAAGAACAAACACGTTTTACGCAGCAACAGCCCCGTCTTTAGAACGAAGTAACGACTTTTATTTGTGTGTCACGCGCGCGTCGCAATATACGCTTTTAAAAAAGTACTAAATTTTCATAAATATTTGCTCGAGTAGTTCTAAGTAAATATTTACTAAATATAAACATATATTCATTTGATATAAAAATCATTAATTTGATTCAACTATATAATTGTTTTTATTGATTTTACGTTTAATGTAAGTAAATATTTATCAATACTTTTTTCTGTTCTATTCAAAGAAATATGTATTAAAGATTCAATAAAATAAATTGTTTTTCAGCGCAACAATATACATACATTCGCGAGAAAAACCCGTGGAGAAGAAAATCTTGACATTTTAAAACGTCGTATATACGTCTGCCCACGCGACCGGTCAGATGGTTTCAGTTGTGGCGCCAAGTTAACGTACAGACATCACGTCCGATTTGACATTTGCCGGAGGAAGGAGGAACCGGCTTGAATTATCTTCTGACAAAAGGCGACACGGTGATGGCCGCCGGGGGTCATAAAACGCGGTATGAAACACTCGCAATAAACCGTCGGCGAGGGGCCGAGTGCCATCCGATGTGCGGATCCAGTTCGTCAAGTCCGATGCACTCTCACGCGTCTCCGTCGCCACCCTTTTTCCTCTCGCGGTCGCGCAAAGTGGAGATCTGTGTTTCCGCGGTTCCTCGCCTCGGAGTCGAGATAGCGGATTTTCCACCGGCAAAAAATATTTTATGCGGCCGACGCCTGGCTCCACACGTTCAAGAACGCGTGACAGTGTTTCTGTACTTGCGACCGCGCGGGAATAATCTTCACGTATGACGGGGAACGAGAGAGAGAGAGAGAGAGAGAGAGAATCGTATAAATATACTTATATAGACAGTATATTTCTGCGATACCTGCCTCTGCGTCTGTCGTTCTTAAGCCGCCACTTCCTGACTTCGCACTTAAATCGCGGAAAGAAGGATTTTCTCACGTTATATCGTACCTTCATGTCTCTCCCGTGATGTGGATCTCTTGGTTTCTTGGAAGAAAGTACCGGGAATCGTGAGCAAGGTCTACAAGCGCGGACGCGTTGGCAGGAGGTTTTATTACACACTTTTATATCGCAATTGCAGCCGGGTACGCTTCCTTCGTAATTTGCTCATATTTATCGGTCCTGTGTTTCTATACCCTCTTTTTTCTCTTTAGTATTCCCGTACATATCGTAAGTCGCAAACCACCTGCGGTAGGAAGAAGGAAAAGATGTCTGCGTGACCCTTTGAAGAGGGCACCCCGACGATTGCGTTCTAACAGTACCACAGTAAATTGTATGCGTTGATTGCAAAGCACAGGCGTTCGCGTGGCGTCTAAAAATAACGTATGCCGCATAGCTTATGAATGATTAACTGCGCGAATGTCAAGAAACTTCGAAAGCCGCCTGGACGACGCGAGTAAACACGCGGTGCGCGGCGATGGGTTAAAATTTTATTCCAAGTCGTCGACCCTTTCTACTCGCATCAGGCTGTATATTTGATATTTCCCAAGTCATCGTCGCAGAGGCGCGCAAATTTCTCCCCGCCATCTACTTCATGTCAATTAACTCCGTCGTCGAGTTCGCGGACCTTCCGCCATTCTTGCCCGTCCGCGAAGATTGACATTTATTTGCAACCACGAATAAACGCACATAAACGCTCCCGTGCAAGCTGTCTATTTCAGATCGTTTTTCGTCCGCGTCCCCGCCGCTTCTTGGCGTCGTCGGCTTTCATCTTCCGAGTTTAGCTCGTCCCTTCTCGCGCGACACTCGCGTCCAATATCCACTGTTTTTACTCCGTCGATTAAACGGGATAATAATTTCGCTATTCCCGCTCCTGTCCATTGTGGACTCGTTCTATACAAATGCGTGGAAATCACAGCTCATCGTAATTTATATATTTATACAATTAACGCGGAACGCGGCGTTGATTATCCTCCTTGAATGGTTCTCACATATTTCGTACAGCCGTAGAAAAATCATATTATTTATACGAAGACGTGCAAAAAATGCTTGAGTCATCAATTGTACCGTTCGTGTATAAACGGCGAAAAATGAAAAAAAAAGAAACGTGATTCTATCCATCGCGATTGGAAAATGGAGTTTTATTCTCACATGTACATGTAACGACTTCATTCGGTTTGTTTGCTCTCGGAAGAGAGCCAAAAAAGGAAAAAGCCACGCATGACGATCGTTCGAATCGCGCGTTTCCCTTTCTCGATCCTAGATAATGGACATCTTCCTTCGGAGTCTTTTGTTGGGCCGTTGCCTCCTGAAACTCTCCGCGTTTCTCTTCCGCGCATTCTCATTTATTCTCTCCTCCTTATTGTCTCGCATTACACGCCCGGTCTGGACCACCGACCTGGCGCACAGAAACGCGGAACAGTGCAGCGCGGGATTCAATATTTACGGAGCTTCCATGTGTGGACCATTCCACCTCGTTCACTCCACTCCTATACGCTCCCCCCGCTTCCCGTAGGAATTCTCTCCGGTTATTGTTGTTCGCCATGCGCTCGTAATATTGACCCTCGTGCAAATTATATCGTACTTTTCCACGTCCAGTCGATACATCCCACTTCCGGTCGCGCTTTGTTCGATGCGCGACAGCTGTCATGGTCGATCGTATCGCATTCATACGGCAACGTTTTCAAACCTTTCTCGTTTATTCACATCGCTCGCTCGTGATCTGAAATTTTCGCGCAGACACGCCGGCGAAGGTAATATCGCGTAGCGCTTCTACGGACGGAAGCTTCGACGGAAGCGTAATATTACCTCGTTTATAAAACAGGATCCCTCGCGCCTCTCACCCGCCTTGGAAACAAGACGCATTTATTCTGTATCTCCAGGGGTTGTAATTATTTCGCACTTAAGCTTTAACTGTGTCCTCTCTGTTACTTATTTTATAATTTCAATCAATTATGTTCTCTTTCGAGAAATTGTCATTCTATGCGCAAGTAATATTGGAAAGTACGACATTTACTACAAGAAAATGTAATGACAAATATGTATATGAATGACAAAATGAAGAAAAATTATTTTTATAAACAATATTGAATAAAATCTTTTTAAATGGTATTATGGATACACAACTGAATCTCTCAGTCAAACTGAATCTTTAATCTTTAATGCTTAAATAATTATTTTCATTTGATCTTTTTTCGTATCTGTAAAAGTAATAGTCTCTACGAGATTCCTAATCCGCTACAATTCAAATACAAGAGAACATTTTTTTTAACTATATTGAACGACTACTTAAATTGTTCTATATATTCCTCCGTTTCTGCTTAGGTTCTACATAAGGGAGGAATAAAGGCATACAGTTTAAATCCCCCCGCTTAAGAAACGATTAAATCTTTTCACCGCTTATTTATGATATCATCACCCTACACTGTTAAAGCTATAAGACACGTAATTGAAACGACGTATCACACGCTGTAGTCTTTACCGCTGCTATTTCAATTTCTGTCTGTTCGCCGACACTCACGCGACTCGAGTTACCAAATTGTCTTCACGAAGAGTCACGTCTATTGAAAAAAAAAAAAATAATAATAGACGGGATTCCAAATTATTCTCAACATCATCCTCATCGTTCCTGTCTCTCATTCCCTCCCGGTTTCTTCCTCTCAGACGTTATTTTCGATGCTCGCTCATTTCCCCTCTGGGGCCTCTCCGCGAGTTCGCGCTCGCGACAGCCGAGGGACTGCACGCGGTCCGTTCATAATAATTAGCAACACCAACGAAAATAGAATTCTCGGTGGCTGCGACCGATGTGGCGCGTCAGGATAACGCCACGCCGCGCCGGCCGGCTCGCGGAGCGACATTACGATGTCATAATTCTGCGATACCGCTCGGCGTACGGACTGTACGGTGCTACGGACCGCGAATATTCTGACAGGGCGCATTAATAACGCTTTGACTTTGGGGTTGCCTGCGACGGAATACATATTACATCAGGATTGTCACGAAACTGGAAATCAGAGAAAGTCAGAGAATTTTGCAAAATTGTATGGAAAATAAAAATTTTTAGTTTTAAAGAAGTTTAACCCTTACAATGCTCAGTTCGGTGCCTCATTACCTATTTAAAGTTGTTCGAAAAATATCTAAAAATTCATGAACATATTACATTTAACTTTCTTATAGGACAAATGTTTAAACTTTATTTTAAAACTTACAAAAAATAAAATATATTACAATTACCCCGAAAGATAGGGAAAAAATAGTGGCTAGCGACAATATTTTGAATGATCAATTTATAATCATTTTTTCACACACATATCATAAAGCCGTATTTTTACCAAAAAAATCCCTTAAAATTAATGCACACTCCCAATAATAATAGTAATTTACATCGCTCTATTAAATTACTCTTTCAACAAAAAATTCAGCTGTTTTAATTGAGAACAAAAATACAAAAAAATTTAAATATTAAAAATATTAGCGAAAATCATGGAATTTTATCCGGAAATCAAGGAAAAGCTGTGTAGGAGGAATTTGTGGCAAGCCTATGTATATATATATATATATATATGATGCATAGCGTATCGAATGTGAGGGTGCATTTACTCGCGAGGTTCATATGATTCGTTTAATAACGGATAATGATCTAACGATAAGCGAGACTTTTCTAGTGCTTGTTCCGCAATATTCCGCGAATAATTGTGGATTTCGCTTTTCTACCCTCCGACACGGAAATCGGCGGGCCAAATTGAGCCATATTTTGTACATACACCGACCGAAAGGGGGAGAGACGAAAGCTTCTCGAAAAGTCAATAGTTAAACGCCAATGAGGAAAGCGAAAATTTATAATCGCGTATTATTTGATCGCCTATTATTTATAACGAGACAAAGCGCAGTCTCGCTTATCAAATAAACAATGTCAATTAATCGCGTACCATTTACATTCATTACGCGCGTCATATGTAGCGAGGCATACGATTGCTTTATTGACCGTCAGGGAGAGTCTCATAGCGCGATAAATAATTTCTTGCAATATCGCATTCAGCGACGTTCGCTAGCACAACGATTATAACGTAAACAATAGCGAAATGTCAACCGAGCTATGTTTGCAATCAATTTCGCTCATAATCTTTCGTACCTGCGGCTTCTCTGGTTTACACGTACTAACCGTATAGTTCCACTAAAATTAGACGTGCCTCTTCACACACATTCTTAACCCTTCTATGTTGAGGTGAAATTTCAGATATCCTGAAAAGTAGGATTGGATCGGATCCGATGCTTTTATTCATATTTTTATCTTTTAATATAACAAATTAATATATTAATTTCAAGTAAACACATTTCTCATATTCATGAAAACATTGTATTTAAGTTTTCCTGTTCATTTCTACTTTCAGAGCAACGCTGGGCCGCATATGTATGAAGCTGGTGATTGTAATGGGTATTACCTGGGTAGCTGACGTTGTCTCATGGGCCGTCGGCGGTCCGCAGTACATCTGGTACTTCACCGACCTGATAAACGCCTTCCAAGGGGTGTTGATTTTCGCGGCGGTTGGCTGCCAGCCGCAAGTTCGAGCCGCACTGAAAAGATTCTTCAGTAAGAATCCGCAAATCAACGCCGGGAGACAGGGTAATGGTCACAGCACAACCAGTCACGGGATGCCTAGCATGGGCGACAGCGTAACGCAAAATCCGAGCACTAAAACTGCACCGTTAGAGACTATCTGCTAGAATGGTTCTCCCGCCCGCGTCGATCTTTCGGCACTTAAAAATCTCCCATCAGTCAACGTTGCTGAAAATCGTCGAATACGCTTGTCATTGCGCTTGATCGGCCGATAAACGCGATGAGAGCAATTCGATTTGAATCGTGATTGAACCTACCGAGAGATCGTCTCGCGGCTGCAATTCGTTGTTCGGAGAAGTTTCCACTGCGGAAAACTTACACGGAGACGCGCGAAAGGGTCGTAATGGGGTTCCATGAATGGTCTCCATTCACCAGGAAACCAGTGATTGCACTTTACGCCGACGACTCGTCCGCAGTCGTAAACGTATATACGGCGTCTCTTCCGCTTTATTTCGTCTTCGTGAGCAGGTAACAAGCTCTGCGCACAATGTGACTCCGTACATCGGCGATACAAATGAGGTGTCGTCGCTTTATAATAACGTCGGACTAATCGACCAGAGAGAATATTTCCACACGATTGGTTGAGCAGCAAGAAGTTTTCCGTCGTTGACTTTGCAAAAAGGTTGAGAGACTTTTGCTGAAAGCGTTCTCTTATTGACATTTTCTAGTTAATACGCGAGTATACGAGAGAGGCCCGGGAAATGTCTATCTAAAGAACATCCGAAAGTGTTTAAGACGCCTTCCGGACGTATTTTAGGTATGTTTTGTACTTTCTCGCTGTTTGAGTTCTCGCGAAACGCGATAGCGCAATTTCGTGCAGCAGAAATACGGAGAGAATTATTTACGCTCTTTGTCCTGTCTGGTCGTAAAATGTTGCACGAAAATGCGGATTTCTATTCGTAGAAAGAGAACACACAACAAAGAAACGAATGACACAGCGTTTAAATTCGTGTATAAGGTAAGTCACGTAGGACTTGATTTTCCTGTCGTGGGCTATTCGACGTAGTCATTAACTCACCCGTCTCGCAACATCTGTCGAGCGAAATACAATCGGAGAATCAGCGTATACGATTATATCTGAAATCTCGGTAGTAACTTCCGGAACCGTCTCGTTCGAGCGGATGTTGATCACCGACAATCTATATATCGGTTTGCACGAAGCAGGCGGCAAACACACTTCGTTCTAATCATTGGATCTGAAAACTGAATACACTTGCTTGTCGACAAAGATAGATCGCGAAATTTCGCTGACGAAAGAACGGGAACGCTAATTGTCCATTCCTGTTTTGGTTCTGCCGGACTTACCACCACGCGATCCATCTTCTCTGACATAACCAATTACTCACCGTATGCAATTAACAGAAACTCTTTGCTGCGATATCTCGCCGATCTCGCATTTTAGAGCATTTTCGTGTACGCGTTCTTCTTTTTTATTCGTTTACATACGGCATATATGTAAAGCGCGGAACTCACCAAAAATGGCACAAAGAAAGATATGATATCTTGAATTTATTCCGAATCCGTGCTGTGATTTCGAATTGCGATATTTTAGCTCGAGTTTGACGCTTTTGCACTCGAGGCACTCAAGATGACGAGACATTGTACAGATGTCTGTATACGTTTAACGTATCTATCACAAGCATGACACGAGAAGAAGTGCAGAACATTCGAGGCGACGGGTGTTAAGCCGAGCAACACAAATGTTTAAAAAAAGGCACTCGTGTCTATTTCGATCTTTTCCGATGTCTCTTAATCACGAGTTCCTCAGGCAATTACCATCATGTTTTATGTGCCGTGAATATTCGTCACTAAATATAACGGACGTATGTTTGGCACAAACACGACATCGCCGCCTAAATACGATCCGAAGGCTATTTAAAAATTCAAAAAAATTTCTATCTAAAAAGGGTGTTCGGAATTTACCTTTACTAGCACCCGGGAACGCTCAACATTTCTTTACGCAGCCTCGAGAACCTATTCGGATACGCATCATTCATAAATCAGAGTTCGTAATGGTTCTACGTCGCTAAAACAGACAATGACGCGTACTCTTCGGACCTCGGTAGCGGGCAGAAACAATGCATGATTTATGATCGAGGCGAATTAATATTCTTTCTTTTTCTCCAGCGCGGACAACGATATTCATTGATATTAATAATATCGGCTCGGGACGAGCGCAAGTATCTCCCTCGAGATTAATCATTTTTAACAATAGAGCGTCACAGCTATACGTGGCAGTTTTGTTTTCTAAAATGATTTCGCCATTTTACGGCAAGTTTTCCGACGGCCAGTTTTTGATAATATATAATCTTTTACATTAATAATTCGTTATACGAATAATCTAACGTAATTCTCGCATTATTATTTATTAAACTATTTCGAGAATACATTTGATTTTTATCTCCATGTAGAACCTTTAGACTGGAACGAGATGAAAGTATCGTGTTATACGTCTATTGTAATGTAACGGCGTAATTAACGTTCGACGAGACGACAGTTTCTTTCAACTTAATGATCATTATGCTCTCTCGAGATCTGAATACGAGAAAATTTGAGACGAAACGACAGGTCTTACCTTCGTTGCGCCTTGTATTACCAAAGGACAATCGGGAGTTCATCACGGATTTTCTTCCGAGTCCTCTTTTACTTCATTATTCATCGGATGTTATCGAATCTAGGAGCAATCGTTTTTCCGTTTCCCTTAGCATAAATCTGCATCGACGTCGTTAGCCGGGTCTGGGCGGGGAACGGCCGTGGCATTAAACATGCGACATCGTGGCTTCCGAGCCACAATTTATCACTGATCAATCGAACGGTCTTGTTTCGGGGTACCGAGCACATGAAAAAAAAAAAAAAAAAAGAACTTCATTGCATTGCGCGTATACCGTTTACAGGACGTAAAAACGTTCCGCACGCAATTCGCGTGCACGCAATTTGTCGACGTGTGCGTTGCTCCGCACACGAGTAATCCGTTTGTGCGACCGTCCGGGAGCAGATCCTTTTACACAACATTTCTACATCCGATCAGTTTTCCGTAAAAGGAATTGAATGTTGATTTGAACTCGATCATTTTGAGATACATTTATACTGATGACCATCGCGAAACAGCGAAAATAGACAGGGTATATAGATCGAGTTATCGATTTCTACGCGATTTTTTGCAAAACTTTTCATTGTTCACATATTCGACATATAACGTTGAAATATTTTCTCGTTTTTAAGGAAGAATGTTTAGAATATTCTCGTTTCCGCACTTTATGTACGGATACGGTTCGATATCTCTTGCGTTGCAAAGTATTCATTTAATTTTCCGACGAGGGAAGCTGATATGCCGAGGAAGGACTTCGTGGAAGGGAATTCTAGAAGAACTCCCGCGAAGCTCTATGTACTGCCAGAGATATACTTTCTCAAGTATATGAGATTAATCATGATACACTAACCACATAACTGCCACTTTGGGGAGAATTCTTTTTTCTTAGTATTATGAAAGTATTATACGATACACATAGCGCTCTCGATAGTACAACGAATCACCGATCGTCGAGCTCTGCTTTACAATTTTTCGAGCGATTTTAATGTAACGATCCTCTTTGCCTGGAGCAATGATTACTCGTATACGCTCTTCTTAAGACTCAAGATTCTGCTAGATCGCTCCACATCCGGCGCTTTCTCTCTCAAGCGAAACGAGACGTCGGTTTCGTATCAGGCCCCGGGCTTACAATCGCAAAGCGTACGTAAACAGAAACACGTATAGGTAGGTCAAGGCATGTAATCGATGTCAACTCGTGACAATACACACTAGGAATTCAATGCCTTCTGAAATGCCTTCCAAACGCGGCGTTCGGCACGCCAAATCAAGTATACAAAGAGGAACCGGACGACGGAGCTCTCTCGGTCGGTTCCTCGAGTTTGACTCTTTAACTGCAACACGTGTGATCGTTTTCTTTCAAAAAGACTTTCAAAAAGACTTTTCTGATGAGACGGGAATGATGACGCACAACAAAATATCACGACATTTCTTTAATGCGATCAAATATTTATCATTTCTACAGTCCACATTAACATACGTTGAATAACATATCGAAAGTATCAAATTAATTGTGAAAATTTCAATTAATTTCGTATTTTGCCTTTTTTGTACTCGCTTTCTCATCACATAATTCTCAATTATAAATCAGACATACGATATATGTACGCGCACAACTAAAGAATTAATAATTATCCGCGATTTCGTCGTTCCATTTGTTTCTTATCCCAAATAAATGTCTGTATTGAAAAAAGGTTTGGTAATAGCTATCAAATGTATTTTGTTTAATTAGTGCAACGTCGGATAAATATTATGAAACGTAATAATAAGAATAAGTAATCAGTTATTTATAATAATAAGAAAAATAAGATAATATTTGAAAAAGTAAAATTAGCGTTTTGTTCATTAGGTTATATTAACTAATTAAAATTACATTTCATTGAAATAATTTCTCCAAACTTTAATACGTTTTTTTAATTATTATTAGACTTTTTCAGTATGCATTTAAACAGCGATGAACGGATTGCGTGAACTGTTCACTTGTGTGATGTATTTCATCATGACGATCGAGAAATAATCGTGAATATACAATTTTCTCAACAGCGTTCCGTTTCGTTTTATGCATCCAGACAGACGTATCGCAGCATGAGTATACTCGGAATCGTTTTACATCGTTATCAGGACAAAGCATTTCGTTTCGTGATGCGATGCATAACAAAGAATGGCGATGCATTTCAAACGCGCGGAATTGTGATTGCTGATCAGAAACCGATATAGGTAGGATTAATTACATAGTGTAGTCGGATGTAAAATATATATAAACGAAACTTCGCCCAAGTTTTCGAGCCTTGGCGTACGAGATTGACGTTCACATTCATTTTAGTCGAAATTTAGTGATTAGGGATTTAAAGATCAGGGTAGTCATTTTGTGTTTTACGTGCATCTATAGGAAGAGACTGAAACGCGTGTCCCTCATCCACTGGGATCCAACCGGGACTGATTTCTGAATGGGAATACTTCGCTTGGCGTTTTTACTACATTTCTATACCATCGAAAGAATGCAAAACCCATCTACACAGA